AGGGATGGGGATGGATATTTCCACACTAGGATGTAAAAAAGTGCCTTTCCACCTTTATCTCAGCYTTATCCTTCCTTGGAGGCACCTGTCTGCCCTTGTGTTTGCGTGCCAGACTGTGTTTCACAGATACAGATATTATCAGGGACTGAAAACATGAGAGAAAACATTCCTGCACGCTGAGCTGCTTTAATAATTCGTAGGCCGCTCACATAGAGAGCAGCATAAAAAAATAAATAAAGGAAATCATGTTTACAAGTGATTTGAGAATAGCTGTCTTTGGAATACAAGCCTCTAGGTCTGTTAGGAGATTTTACATTCAGCCCACTGCCTGGCCATTATGCGCTGTAAAGAAATTACTCTGATTGTGCAGATCATTGCAAGGCATAATGACTGGGAGCCCAATATTTTTCATTAATTTTTTCTGGGTTAAATAATGCTCTGAAGTAATTCTTCTGATTTTTTTTTTTTTTGTTCCAAGAGTGGATTTCTCTCTGAAGGAGCTGAGTTTTTAGGTGTTACAAACTTGAAACCAAACCCCATCATTACCAGACTTGTCCCTTGTTGGGTTTTTCCTGTCATCTGGCGGGGGCTGAAACTTCCATTCCTTGTGTCCCTCCCTCCCTCACACTTGCACTGCCCTTCCCTTGACTCTGAATATTTGACCCAGTTGTCCTTATGACCATTTTATTWGCTTTTTCTTCTCCTCCTGTTAAACTTTGTGTTGCTTCTGTCTCCTGCACTGTGTCACTTGTGATTGTGGCACCACTTCCATTGCAAGACTTTGTTCTTTGTGCCTCACCTGGAAATCTCACATAAACACCTGACTTTTCCTCCTGCTTATGGATCTCTTGAATTCTTTTTCCTGGCAGTGTAATTTTTTTTTAAATGCAATATTGCAATTGCTGCCTAAAGTAAAGAATGTTTCAAATTGCAGTTAGTGAAATAGGTTTTATGGAAGAAACTCGTGTTATCAGCCCTGCTTAGCTACATGCACTCAGTAATCATTCTTTCCTGGATGCTTTTCAGAGTGCCACCTCCACAGAGGAGGTTGCTGTATATCTGGTGGCTTATTTCAAATAACAGACCTGTGCAGAAATTGCTGGGAGGAAGATTGCCATGGTGCCTTTCCCTGAGATGCTGCTGCTGGGTTTTCCCTCAGAGGGCACTGCCCAGGCTCCCCAGGGAATGGCTGGAGCTGGGCCAGGGCAGGCTCAGGCTGGAKMKCAGGGRAAGGTTCTYCTGTCCCCAGAGGGTGCTGGCACTGCCCAGGCTCCCCAGGGAATGGTCCCGGCCCCGAGGCTGCCAGAGCTCCAGGAGCGTTTGGACAGCGCTGCCAGGGATGCTCAGGGTGGGGCTGTTGGGGGGTCTGGGCAGGGCTGGGGTTGGGCTGGGTGATCCTGGGGGTCTTTCCAGCTCAGGGCATTCTGTGATTCCATGAACCAACAGCAGCAAGGCCAGATTAGACCTAAATTAAAACCTTGATTAAGCCATCAGAGTGTGATGATSCAGAAGCCTGATGAGCAGGACAGCTCTGGAAAATTGGCCATTTGCCCCTGCCCTGCTCTCTTTGCATCTCTGCAGCACCCCCAGACCTGYACCTCCCATGAATGTGCTTCCTGTGCTGTCTTCTGTCCCCCTGAATGATGCTGGATCTTGAATTGGACTGAAGAATGGGATTTTGAATGGGACTGAAGAAAAACAAAGTAATTGTGTTGCTAGGAAAGGACCAAGATATTGAAACAGCTCTGAGTGATCAGTGGAGCGCTGGGTGAATGTCAAAGCTTGTGAAAGTCAGAGCCAGGCCACTGCTCTGGCTCGTGGGATGGTGCATTTTGCACAGCACATAAATGAATATCTCTGGACAGCCTGGTGCWGTGGATAAGGCTCAGACAGGGAGTCAGGGGACTTCCAGTCTTCACTCCTTCCCCTGGTACTGCCTTCTATCATTTGCCTTCCTTATTAAGAAAGCAAGCTTAGGGCAGAAAATCATCCTACTTCGTGTTAGTGCAGAATAATGGGGTCCTGACCTTTGTGGGAGCTCTGGGTGCCTCTGAAATGCACACACTAATAACTGTGGTGACCTGCTCTGTGTCTTATTATTCCAGCATCCWGCTCCTGCTCCAAGGAACAATTCATTCCAGGGAACGTGGTGGACGTAGCCACTAGAAAATACAGCTACAGTTTGTTTTCATTCCTTTTTAATGCTGGCAGTACATAAACATGGTTTTTCAGAAAGAAAAGGGTGGCCCCTCAAGCACAGCAGTGCAGAGCTTTGCAAGTGTGTTTAAAGGTGTTTGTATGAAATGGCCATCTGAGCAGTTTTTATGGGCTGCTGTGCTCAGAGGATTTCAGATCCTGTGTCTCTATAAAGGAGAGAAGCAAAGCTGAATCCTAAAACAGCGTTTCTGAAAGGAGCAGCAGAACAGGGACAGAAAGAGCTCACAGAGCTCCTCCTGCCAGGACAGGAATGTTCTCACCTGCTGCTGGTGGTGGGGCAGGTGGGAAACCAGAGCAACCAGAGGAGATTTAGGCATCTGCAAGGAAAATACACCACAACATCAGGAAACAAAGGATTTCTGCTGTAAAGTTTCACTGCAAGACTCTGAGAATGCCAGAGCCRGGAATTTGCTGACACATTCTCCATTCCTGGGCACTATTAGCTGAGACAACTCACAAATGTTTGGGCTGGTAGCCTAAGGGAGCTGTCGGCCTTTGCCAAGAGAGATAGAAGGAGTTGCCCAGAAGATCCCAGTGAATGGGTCACGCAGTGTGGAGGTGTCAGGATGGATAATGAGCCTTTCTTCTCCTCCTGGAGCTGCAGGAGCCTCCAGTGGGGTGGGAAATATCAGATAAAAGCACTCTGACCACACATTGCCCGGAGTAACAGTGACAGCCTGGCAAAATCAAACCAATCTGCTGGGTTAGAAGATGGAGTTGACAGCACTTTCTTCTTCCTTTTAACACAGCTCACACTCCATGAGGGTATTCAGATGGTACAGAAATGAGGGGTGTGTCTGACTGTGCTGTTTAGAACAGAAAACCATTCTCCAACACCTATTATTTWGGGTCATAGGAGTAACTGCAGCTCAGCTGAGGGATAATTTGGAGTACTTCTGACTTTCATTTCCAATGAATGGAGATTTAGCCATTTGCAGGGTGAAATTGTAGCTTTCTCATTGCCTTTGTTGTGTGATGTGTTGGGATTGCCTGTCTGAGGTGTGCAGCTCACCTCTTGGACACATTTACTGCAGGGTTGTAGGAGAGGCTGTCAAATAAAGATGGAAAAATGCGACTGATACATTATTTTATTTTCGTGCTCAGGAGTCCCATTAATGCATTTCAGACATGTGAGCACAGAAGTTATCAGTGAACTCTTAACTGAGTGGGTAAATTGGTGAATGCAGCAGAACAGCAGAGTTGTCAGGGGCAAAAAGCTGAAAATTACACCTGTGATCCCAGGAGCCAACCCTTTTTGCCTGGTAAATATTGTGTTTTGCTCTGGCTAAACTAGATTAACAGCTCAGCTGCAGGAGGAGTGAAATCACGCTTTTATCACCACATCATCTCTTAAAGCAGTCTAACGTGTGGCAAAGAGGCACAACAACACCAYGGTGACAATAACGCTGCTGTCTCACATGGACTTGATTGAATATTATATCCCTGAGCAAGTGGCTTTGTCAACAGAAATGATTCAGATTTCCTGAAGGTCAAAGCTGTTAAAAGAACAAATCATGGTGGTGTTCTGGTGTCAGCCCTCTGTGTCCACCTTTGCTTCCCTTTCCCTGCTGCATTTAAGCTGAAGGAGCAGACCTGGCTGACTCCAGCAGCAAAGGTGAAGCTCAAGACAAGAGTGTGATCTCATGTAACACGAATTAATTTAACTTCCTGAGCTGCAATGGTGATATTTTTAGGAGCAGTTAAGTGTAACAGGGATATAATGAAGATARGCTTATTTAGTCTTTGGAGTAGCCATGACTCAAATCTTGTGGGGATTTCTAAATCAAGATCAGTGGCTTGAGCTATATCTGGACAAATTCTGTGCAGCAAGTGGTGAAGTCAGCAGAGCTAAGGTCTGGAATGAGCAGACCTGGGAGAGGGCAGCTTTCTCCAAGGGGCTCATTTAGTGCAGGGAGGAAAGAACAGAAATGTTCTGCAATGAATGTTCCTAAATACGTTTTATTTTCAGATCTGTAGATTTCACTTGTGGGAAAAAAAAAATCAGCAAAAAGTTTGAAGCAGAAATTATTCTCTCTTGTTTGGGCTGAAGAAGTCATGCATGGAGTGCTTGAGGTGATGTGTGAGGTGCTGAGGCACTGGGATGGATTGCTCAGAGAAACTGGGGGTGCCCCATCCCTGGAAGTGTCCAAGGCCAGGCTGGAAGGAGCTCTAAGGTTCCACCTTTTCCAGTGGAGCTGTCCTTGCCCATGGCAGGGGGTTGGAAACCTTAAAATGGGTTTTAAGGTCCCTTCCAACCCAACCATTCCATTGCTCTGTGTGTTGGATTCATGCTTGTTTCATTGCAGTGAGATGCTTAAAAAAACCTCCAGTCCACTGAGAAACACAAATGTGAGCTGATCTTAGAGGGAGAAAAGTTTCTGCCAAAAGTATTATTATCATTACATGTCAGTGTGTTCACTATTTCTATGAGTTAGGACTGCAAGTCCATTTAAACTATTTTAGATTAAAATTAGAACTGTTCTTCTCCTGTTTCTGGGTGCATGCTGAGTGCTTCAGAAGAGTAAATTCCCCATTACTGGAGAACTTAGTAAAATATTAGAGCCATTTGCACTATGCTGGGATTTTACACCCTATTACTGSTCTGAATTATCTGTCATTAGCCCTCATTAAAGGCAGATTTGGTTAGATGGACAATTGTCTATTGCAATTTGATTGCAAATATGTTGCTAGGCTTTCAAATGAATATTTAAACCGGATCATTGCACAATTTTCGTACAATTTTTTTTTTTTATCTTGTCCTTCCTCTCCCTCCATCTTTTAAGGAGCTTCCACCCAGAATTCCAACGCAGTGGAACCAGAAAAGCAAGTGGACAGCACGGTGAAAATGGCTGGAGTTATAGCTGGTCTCCTGATGTTTGTTATTATCCTCTTGGGAGCCATGCTTACCATCAAGAGAAGGTAAGTTTCTGCTTTGCTTCCATCTTGGACKTCCTGGCATCTTCCAAAAGAGGAATAAATGAAGATAAAACATTCTTTTTGTGTGCCACAGGGCAGCAGTTAATGCCTGTTTACATCACACTGACATTAAGGGTTGTAACACCACAAGAAATCCCTGTCCTGGGAGATCCAGCAGCAGAAGAATGGTTGTTACTGYGAAGAGAGAATGATAATTAAATAATAATTAATTGATAATTAATGTGAGAGATAAGTCATTAAATAGCACGGAGAAGTACAAAGGGATCAAAGGAGCACCTGTCCTATAGTAAAGGCTGAGGGARYTGGGATTGTTCAGCCTGGGGAAGAGAAGATTTGGGGTGACSTTATTGTGGCCTTGCAGTGCCTGAAAGGAGCTGAGAAGAAAATGGAGAGAGATTATTGACAAAGGCCTGGAGTGCCAGGACAAGGGGAATGGCTTCAAGCTGACRGRGAGGAGGTTTATATTAGAATATWTTAGATATTRGGGAGAAATTMYTCCCTGTGAGGGTGGGGARGCCCTGGCACAGGGTGCCCAGAGAAGCTGTGGCTGCCTCATTCCAATTTTCCAACACTTGGTTCTGATGTTTTGGCTGTCACAACTACCACAGCACGGGCTGTTATCTCACAGATAACACAACCAAACACACACACAATTCAGAGCAAGTTCTAAAGATTGGAGACTGAGGATCCTTTTGCTCTGTGTAAAAATCCCCAAGCTCCTGCTGAGCTGAGCTGGTCCCTGAGAGAGAGGACAGAGCCCTGAGTGGAGCCTGCCTGGTCCCTGCAGCAGCAATGTTTGCTGAATTTGGGTGTGATGCCCCATGGACAGAACTTTGTTATTGGGTTTTGCCACAGGCTCTGTAAACCTGGGCAWTTTTCTTCACAGTTAACATTAGAAAGGAGGTGAGTGGGAGTATTAGAAATCTAAATTCTCCTTTTCTTTTTTTTTYCCTAGAGCTGGAAAATTACATTTTGCTCTGTTTTGTTCCCACAGCCCCTCCCAGGGCACACAAACCAAACCCCTGCAGTCTGTATTTCTCTTTTTTTTTGCTGCAATTTGCAGCGATAACCCCTGGAAGACACACTGAAATAAGGAATAAACTGGCTCATTGGCTTTAAAATCTTCTCCCATTTAGAAGCTGTGAGTGCAGGAGGAGGYTGGGGAGGCTGTAGCACACCTCCAGCCCCTCCAGAGCTGCTGCTCACATCCCTTCTGGGCTGCCTTGGATGGGCACCACCAGCTGGGGCTCAGAGCTACACATGGACAAATGTGCCCTGGAGATGRATCTCAGCCTGTCAGGCTCATTTCATTTCTAAACTAATGCAGGTTGGGACCAGATTTCATAAAAAGCTGATTTGGACAACAAATTGACTGGAATTTCTGGAGGAGCAGACCTGAAAGCTGGAGCTCTTCTGAGAGAACAGTTTAACAACGAAGTTCTTTATTTTATTTTGCAAACAGAAGCATTTGGAGCTCAAACTCTTGCATTCCTCACTCTAAAAAGAGTTCCCTTCCCAGTGCACCAAGGCCTCAGGGTACAAACAGTGGAGCTGTGCAAGGCAACAATTCAGAAAAATAATTTAATGAGATAAACTTGAGGCGTTATCTTCAAATGGAGCTGGAAAATATCCCAGTGACATTTGTCCATTGTCCAGGGCACYGCAGCTCACTGGTAACAGGCACAGAGGTGGATTTCCTGGATGGAGCATTTGTTAACCAGGAAAAAGAGAAAAGGAAGGAGAGGGATTAGAGGGGAAGGAAGGCATTGGTTGGAGGTGAGCACTGAGATCATCAGGARCCTCTTTCTGTTCCTCTGAACACACAAAATCTCAGCACACTGCTTTGAACCTTGCAGACACAAGGCATGAGCAAATGGAACCGGCTGCTCACGGTCTCAGCAGAGCAAATTGCAAAAATTCCTGGGGGCTGACAAAGTTTTAGAGGGTTTAGTCAGATATGTAAAGCTGAATTAAGCTAACCAGTATATTCCTGCATTGGGAAATTTTGGTTTGACTTTATGTTTGTTGTCTGAAAGTTTTAGTTGGAACTTGGGGTTGCTAAAGTCTGCTAAAATTTCCATATATGTATATCTCTGTCAAAAATATATCTGGAAATACCTCATTTTCATTGTATGAAAATATTTCTAATTCTCTAAGCAGCTTGGTTTCTTGTCCTTAATATTAATTAAACYGATTTGTGTTGTAGACAATACAGGATCAATTAGTAAAAATTAGCTGAAACAAGAAAAACAAGACATTTTTCAGAGGAAAATACCCTTTGACTTTGCCCCTCCCCAAAAGATTTTATTTTGGTCAGTTCTGGTTTCATCTGGGCAGTTTTAATTCTCCTGTAACCATGACTTGCATTTCCCTGGAGTGAAGAATGTGACACCTCTCARTCCTGTGTGTTTGAGCAGACAAAGCCTCTCCTGACCCCTTTAAATATGAGGCTGAATAAATAGGATCAGACAGCCTGTCATGGGTGCACTGTAAATCAGTTCTTTAAACTGCTGTTGGTAGCAAAAAAGGAGATTTGGGGCTGTGTAGGGTCTGGGATTATTTCCTTCTATGAAAATTCAGCTCTTTATTCTGGATTAGGATTCGGGTTGTTACCTTAAACTAATTAAATAAAAAGCCTCTTGAGCAGAACATACCCAAGATGTAGGATAGAATGAGGTAAAGGGCTATTTGAACATTTCCTATGYCCATCCCTGTTTAAGACAGGCAGGGGTTTGGGGTTGTGTTGTACATTCCAGGACCAGCTCATGTTTAACTGAACCATAACTCAGACCAGTTTCCACAGCAAGCTTTGAAATATTCCTTAGCAAGCCCTTATTTCAGGCTGCATATTTCGGGAGGATTTGAGCCAAAATGGACTGTCCAATTCCAAAACATTATCCTCCCTTTTTTTCCCTCCTTTATTTTCTATCCTTATAGAACAAATCTTTCTGAGCTTTCCCCTGCAGCCTGGAGGGATCTGCAATTTTTTAATGAGGGGTCTGGGGGGACCCCAGGTTTCTGTGGCTGGACAGAAGAGCAGCAGAAAGCACAGCAGGATATTCAAGGGGGCAGTTACAGCCAACAGTGCTGTGTGAACCCTGGGCCTGCCTTTTAGAGGAGTTGGTTTAAYGGAATAATTTTGGGGATTTAGGGAGGAGTTGGTTTAATGGAATAATTTTGGGAATTTAGAGGTTTTAGCTGTGTGGGCTCTGATTTTCCACATCCTGGTCATTTTCCCCTTTGTTTAGGGATTCAGTGGAACTTGGATTTTCGCAGGGAATCTCAGTGGCAATCACTGCACCTTAACCCATGCATTTCCAGGGCGTGTAGGATTCTGCTTTCAGGAGACAATAGTGTTTAGTTAAAATGCATTCAGGTGTGCCTTAGGATCAGTGCCATTCAAATAACCTGGCAGGCATCAAGAATCTGGCCAGAACATCAAGTTTATAGCAAAGGCCATCACCAGGAAAGCCATTCACTTCAGTTAAATCCTCATGAGCAGCCTTTTACCCCACGTGTGCACATTAAAGAGGGTGATTGAGCACAGTGACTGAGCTGAGCCTGGTGTCCACWTGTGCTCATGGAAATTGTGTTCAGAGCAACCATAAAAATGAACACTTGAACCCTGATTTGTATTTCTGATTTCTAGTCTTCCCAGTGTCTCCAGGGATTGGATTTTTAAGTTTTGCAATAGGTTGAGATTTATGTTTCAGTTTTTTCCCCTCTCTTGACCGTTGCTGTTGTTTTTGTGGTTCCTCATTGCTGCTGGTGAATCTGTAACACCCTGGGCTGGGTCTGGTGTGATCCAGTCTTTTCAGAGAAGCCCCTTTCCAGTTTTAAAAGTGAAAACATCACCTCTTCAGCTCTAACTGATTGCCAAGGCTCAGTTTGTGGTGCTGCTCAGAATGTTGTGAAATGAATTGTTGAGAAACCGTGGTAGCAAATGCTTAATCACAGTGATGCAAAAAGCTAATGCATGCCCCCAGTGCTCAGCTATAAATATGGAGTGATGCTTGAATTGGTAATGAACTATTTGCATTTTAGAGTTTGATGAAGCTTGATTTGTCATTAGACAATTTGCTCATTGTCTAAATATTGCGAAATTGTGGCGTTCTTACATTGTCATTTGCCTATTTATTGTTATTTATATTAATAGTCTGACATCTTTCTTTCCATTTCAAAGATACCAAAGCACTTGAGAGGCAAAATTAAATCTCATTGCCCATGTTACTGACATGACAAAGTGAGGGAACTAAGAGGTGAGGGGATTTTTCCATGATAGCAGAAGTAGAAACACAACCTGTCTCCAGTTCAGCATCAATTTATTCCCCACCAACATTCAGCTCCTGAAAGAAGTGCCCCCCAGTACAGAAAACAGCACAAATACTTTGTGTATTGAAAATAAATCSCAGAGTTCATCTAAATCTAATTATATGCTTTTCTCTTTTTCTCCTTTTGGATATTTTGTTCATCTGACTGGCCGTCAATGTTTAGAAGAAATGCGTATTCCTACTCCTATTACTTGTAAGTACTTGGCTGGAAATGAGCTTTTTTGAGCATGCTCACCCTGTGGTAATTTTGTGCTTTGTTGTATTCTTTTCTATTTTTATATTTTTTACCATCTCATTTAGCCTTGTCTTTCCAGCAGCTTGTGTTTTATTTCCCTCAGTTGCACACTGTAATGTTTTCCCCATTTTACCACTGCACCTGCAAACACGTGAATGTCTACAGATACGTCAGTTATGGTTTATAGCTCTTCAAACTGGATATCAGGAGAAATTTCTTCACCAAAAGGGCTGTCCAGCACCAGAACAGGTGGCCCAGGAAGTGGTGGAGTCACCATCCCTGGAGGAATTTAAAAGTCGTGTAGATGTGGCACTTGGGTTAGAGATGGACATGGGAACAGTTGGACTTGAAATCTTTTCCAACAAAAAYGATTCTATGATTCTGTAAATGCTGATGGACAAATACAGAGTGTCCCAAGTGCACCTTTTCAATTGTCCATAGCCAGACTTCAGGGAAATTCACACCTAAGTTATTGTTGGGAATTTCTCAACCACAGATAAAAGTTTTTTT